TTTATAAGTTAATAAGACTTATTCTTTATCTTTTAGAGTAATTATAATTTATTAATAAGATTTAATAAAATAAAAAATTTTTAAACTCTACTATTAATTATTATTTAGGTTTTTTTTTTATTAATAAGGAGGTTAACTATAAAGTAGTTTATACTACTAATATTTATAGTATATAAAGACTAATTAAATCTTTATTAAAGTATTAGTTTTAATTATAATAATAATTATTATTTTTTAAACTCTTTTTTTTTTATATATTAGTAATCTTTTTATTAGACTTATTATTAGAACTTTAATAATAGTTACTTTTTTTATCCTTTATATTATTTAGATTTAAACTAAGTAAGTTATTTATTTATATATAGTTTCTATTATATTCTTATTATATAGATTAAGTATTAATAGTATAAATATCTTTTATAATATATTTATTTTCTTTAGATCTTTATAGAATAAAAGTGTCTATTTCTCTTTAATATATAGTCTATCCTTAGAGTTCTTTTTTATAGTAGAGTTTTTCTTCTATATTTAAGTTAAAATACTATTAATACTTAATCTTTTTTAAAAAGTGTTTTTTATAATAACTATATATATATAATACTTATAAAACTTAATAGTATAATAAATATATTATAATAGTTTTTAAGTATTCTAAGTCTTCTAGAATATTATTAGACTAGTCTTAGTCTATTTAAATTACTTTCTATAGTATTTTTAAATTAATAACTTTATAGTTATTAATTATTATAAATTCCTTTTTTTTATTCTTATAGATTATAAACTTTTCTTTATTAAGTATAGTATATTTTCTATTTATAAAATTCTTCTTTTTTAATATTTTATTAGAAGAGTTTTATATTTTAATTATATTATAGAGTTCTTTCTCTTTATTTAATAATAGTTAGATTCTAAAGTCTTAATCTTTATTAGAATATACTTTATAGTTTTTTTAATAATTAGTATTTAAAAAGTATTTTTTACTATTAACTATACTAATATTATAAGTTAATAAGTCTTTATAGTTTATTATATTTATTCTATAGTTTTCTTTACTAACTTCTACTATTTTTTAAGTACTTTATATTTATTTATATAGTATTCTAGTATAATAGTAGTTTAATTCTAATCTATAGTTAGTCTATTTCTTAAGTAAGAGTTAGTTTAAATATATAGAGTATATATAAGTAGTTATTATAGTATAAGTTATATTAAAAGATATCTCCTAATAGTAGAACTATTACTTAGATTAATTAATAGAGATTTAGACTACTTAATTATAAAAATACTTTCTCTTTAAGTACTTATTTATCTTTTTATTATAATTCTAAATAGTTAATTTACTTAACTCTATTTATATATTCTATATATTTATAATAAATAACTCTTTAAAGTATTTATACTATTTAAAAATTTATATAGTTTTATTCTTAGGTTCTTTATTATTAAAGTAGTCTTTAAGAGTTAGTTCTTACTACTTTATTATTTTTCCTATAAGAAGGTTTCTAATATAAAGTATTTATACTATAAGGTTAATAATAATAGTATTTATATATAAATAGGCCTTTATTTAAATTAAGAAGTTTTAAATATCTTCTTTAATTCTATTAAATAAGTTAGGTTTAAAGAACTTTAATAAAATAAAAGTTCTATTATTAGTATTCTTTATAGTTTAAATTTAAATATTAAGTAAATTAATCTATTACTTTATTTATACTATAGTATTACTTAGGTTAGTTATTACTCTACTAGTAGTAAATACTATAAAGTTTAATTACTTATAATTTTAAAAGTAACTTACTAAATAGGACTAATTAAAATATAATAATAACTTAATTCTAATCTATAGTTAGTCTATTTCTTAAGTAGATAGTTAGATTAAATATATAAAGTACTAATAAATAGTTATTATTATATAAGTTATATTAGAAGATACCTCCTAATAGTAGAGTTATTACTTAGATTAATTAGTAGAGATCTAGTCTAGCTATCTACTAGAAATCCCCTTTTTTATATATCTATCCTTATTAAAGACTAGCTCTATAGCTACTATAAGTAGGTACTAATATAAGCTTAAATTAAATCTCTTATAGAGGGAAGAGATAGAGAGGTTATAATAAAGTGGCTACTATATATAAGGGGGAGTCCCCCCCCCTATTAGGTCTATACCTTAGGCCACTAGACTATTAGTCTAACTAAGCTATAGTCTAAGCTCTTATAATCCTATTCTCTACTATATTACTAAGATTACTAGATTATTTATTTATTTATTAATCTTTCTAATTATAGTAATTAATAAATAATCTATTAATTATCTTTTAGGTTATATAACCTTATATTCTATTCTTAGGTCCTAGTGTGTCTAATCTAGTCTAACTTACTTAACTCTACCTATATATTCTATATATTTATAATATATAGTCTCTAGTATTAACTATTAACTCTTTATTATAGTACTTTAGTATATTTATAATATTATACTTTTTATAAAAGTAATTATAAGTATAAATAAGTTTTTATATAAAAGTAAATTCTAAATAAATTTAATTATTATAGAGCTTCTAACTAATATTATTAATAACTTTATTTATTCTATTATAATTATAAATAAATTAAAAAAAAAAAACTATTATACTATTTAGAATAAGTTAAGAATATTACTTTTAGAGTATTATATTAGTAATAGTATATACCTCTATGTTATTTAAATTTAATAAATTAATTAAATAAAAACTTCTTTATAGTCTTTTATAGAGAGGACTAGTATAACTAACTAAAGGTAGTTAATAGAATTATTAATAATAGTTTAACTAATACTAAAATAAGACTCCTATAAGAATATTAGGTATAGATAGTATATTTAGTAATATTTATAAATAATACGCTAAGAAAAGCTAGTACAGGGCAGCAGTCCTGGGGACACAGTCTTAGTCTCATAATCACGCCGTTAGGGCCCACTGACCCCACTAAACCGCCCAGAAACTTCCAGTGACATCACGCAGCTGCCACAAGCTTCTGTACGCTTCAGGTAGCTTCCAGCCTGTTGGAGGGGCTCCCATGTCAGGCCATGATCTGAGGCTGTCAATGTTAAATTCCGTCGCAAGGTCCAGACTTCTTCCTCTTATTATTCCTCATTCACACACACTTGAACTTCTCGTGCTCGCTGTATGCCAACAACCATTATAGAAAGAAGTCTATTGGCTTAAGCTTCTTCACTTCTCAACGGACACTACCTCAGTACCCAACGTCTACCGAAGCTGCCACACAGCCGTTCGTTCATCATGAATGCACGAATGGATTTCACAGACCGAGCCCAAAAGGCCGTGGAGGATGCCATGCATCTGGCCGAACAATACGCACACTCACAACTGGTTCCCGTCCACCTGGCCGTCTCGCTACTCGAACCCCCCATCGACCAATCCAAAGATCAGCAAAATGCCCCTCCAGGCGCCATCGCGACGATGTTCCGCCAAGTCATCGAGAGAGCTCACGGCGACCCTCAACTCTTTGACCGTGCTTTGAAGAAGACACTGGTGCGCCTGCCGAGCCAGGATCCTCCCCCAGAGCAGGTCTCTCTCTCGCCGCAGTTCCACGCGGTGCTGCGCAAGGCTATGGAGCTCCAAAAGGTCCAAAAAGACACCTATATCGGTGTCGACCATCTCATCACAGCCCTCTCCGAGGAAGCCCCTATCCAGGCGTCACTCCGCGAGGCCAACATACCGAAGCCAAAGATGATTCAGGACGCCGTCCAGGCCATCCGCGGCACAAAACGAGTCGACAGCAAAACCGCCGACACCGAGCAAGAGAACGAGAATCTGGCAAAGTTCACCATCGACATGACGGCCATGGCCCGCGAAAAGAAGATCGACCCTGTTATCGGCCGAGAAGAAGAGATTCGCCGGGTCATCCGCATTCTGTCTCGCCGCACCAAGAATAACCCGGTTCTCATCGGTGAGCCGGGTGTAGGAAAGACAACCGTCGTGGAGGGTCTTGCGCAGCGAATCGTTATTCGCGACGTTCCAGACAACCTGAAGAGCTGCAGACTGCTCTCGCTCGATGTTGGTGCGCTCGTTGCCGGCTCCAAGTTTCGCGGTGAATTCGAAGAGAGGATGAAGGGTGTCCTGAAAGAGATTGAGGCATCCAAGGAAATGATTGTCCTCTTCGTCGACGAAATCCATCTTCTCATGGGTGCCGGATCCTCTGGGGAAGGCGGAATGGATGCCGCCAACCTCTTGAAGCCTATGCTGGCTCGTGGCCAGTTACACTGCATCGGTGCTACCACGCTTGCCGAGTACCGAAAGTACGTTGAAAAGGACGCCGCCTTTGAGCGTCGTTTCCAGCAGGTTCTCGTCAAGGAGCCCACCATCCCCGAGACCATTTCCATCCTTCGTGGTCTCAAGGAGAGATACGACCGCCACCATCGCGTCACGATCAAGGACAACGCTCTCGTTGCCGCCGCCAACTTGGCCGCTAGATATCTTACTACTCGCAGACTCCCTGATTCAGCTATTGACCTGGTGGACGAGGCTGCTGCGGCCGTGCAGGTTGCGCGCGAATCTCGACCCGAGATTATCGATTCCAACGAACGCAAGCTGAGCCAACTCATGATTGAAATCGCCGCTCTCGAGAAGGAGCACGATGAAGCGTCGCAGAGCCGTCTCATGCAAGCAAAGAAGGAAGCCAAGAACGTCGAGGAAGAACTCGAGCCACTCCGCGAAAAGTACCAAAACGAAATCAAGCGAAGCGAAGACATTCACAATGCCAAGGTCAAGCTCGACGACCTGGAGAAGCGCCTCGAAGATGCTATGAACAACGGAGAGCACGCCAAAGCCGCCGATCTCAAGTACGGAGCCATTCCTGACCAGCAAGATGTCATCAAGCGGCTGGAGGTCAAGAAGGCCGCGGCGGATGCTGCCCTAAACGAATCCAACGCCGACGCCGGCGGCTCCATGGTCACCGACACCGTGGACGCTGACCAAATCAACGAGATTGTCGCACGCTGGACCGGAATCCCCGTCACCCGCCTCCGCACATCGGAGAAGGAGAAGCTCATCCACATGGAAAAGGCGCTGAGCAAGGTCGTCGTTGGCCAACGCGAGGCTGTCCAGTCCGTTGCCAACGCGATCCGGCTGCAGCGCTCCGGGCTCTCCAACCCGAACCAGCCGCCCAGTTTCCTCTTCTGCGGCCCCTCTGGCACCGGCAAGACGCTGCTGACTAAGGCGTTGGCCGAGTTCCTCTTTGACGACAGCCGGGCCATGATCCGCTTCGACATGTCCGAGTACCAGGAGCGGCACGCGCTCAGCCGCTTGATTGGTGCGCCGCCGGGCTACGTGGGCCACGACGCAGGCGGGCAGCTGACCGAGGCACTGCGGCGAAAGCCCTTCTCCATCCTCCTCTTTGACGAGGTCGAGAAGGCGGCCAAGGAGATCCTGACGGTGATGCTGCAGCTCATGGACGACGGACGCATCACCGACGGCCAGGGCCGCGTGGTCGACGCCAAGAATTGCATCGTCGTCATGACGTCCAACCTGGGCGCCGAGTACCTGACGCGCCCCGGCACCAAGGAGGGCCGCGTGGACGCGCCGACGCGGGAGCTCGTCATGGGCGCGCTGCGCAACTACTTCCTCCCCGAATTTCTCAACCGTATCAACTCGGTCGTCATCTTCAACCGGCTGACGCGCCGCGAGATCCGCAACATCGTGGACCTGCGCATCGCCGAGATCCAGAAGCGCCTACAGGACAACGGGCGTAACGTGACGATCGACGTGTCGGAGGAGGCCAAGGACTACCTGGGCAACGCGGGCTACTCGCCGGCGTACGGCGCGCGCCCACTTGCGCGCCTCATCGAGCAGGAGGTGCTGAACAAGCTGGCGATCCTGATCCTGAGGAACAACGTGCGGGACAAGGAAACGGCGAGAGTGGAGCTGGAGGACGGGCGCATCGTGGTGCTGCAGAACCATCAGGACAGCGACCCGAGCGAGGACGAGGAGATGATGGACGAGGAGGACGCGGTCGACGAGCTGGACATGGACGACGGGGACTTTTACGATTAGATGAAGCAGGGACAAGAGGTGGAAAGAAACGGCAGGTGATACAGAAACGAGAAGTGAAAAGAGACGACAGAAGCCTATGCTTTGCTATCCGGCTCAGGTGCTTGATTTTTTACCGCATACCACGTCATAAAATGGCGGGTGTAACGATTTGCCTTTACCACGGCGTTTTTCTTATGCATTATGACTTTTTTCATCTTCTTCTTTTAGAATCATGGCCAAGAGCAATTGTCTCTTTATGCATAGATATCTGTATAGTTTATACATGGACATTTAATAAATAAATACAAATGAGAAATCATATGAATTGGTCGAAACAATTCTGAAGGTGACTGTTTATGAGCCACTCTGTAAAAACAGGAAAAAAAAAACAACGCCGGAACATGCACTGTGAAAGAAACTAAAATAAACACCGTATTAAGGAGGACCAAGCAAAACCCTCCCTTGCGCCTTTTTTATACGTCTCTCCTGCTGCTATCTTCACGGCAAGCCGAGGAGCACCCCGTCGTCGCCGATCCAGCCAAAGTCGTCGGTGAACATGGACCAGTCAATCTCCTGGAAGGGGTCCGCGCCCATGGCCATGGGATGCAGCATATTTATCGGCGGACCGACTGACGTCGGCGCCCCTTGCAGTCCGGTAGGGGCCGTGAGCACGCCAGCGTCAGTCGCGGGCGGTTCGGCGGCGGTCTGCTGCCGCGTTCTCCTGTGGCGGTCTACGACGCAAATGTCAGCATACTTTTCGTCTTGTTGTCCTTGGCTATCGAGCCCTTCCAAGGAATCGATTTAGCTCTATTTTGAAAAAAAAAAAAAAAAAAAAAAACACTTACGGATGAGCTCGTCGGCCCGGTTGGCCGCGGCGGCCGTCTCGCTGTTCTTCTGGGCGGCGCGTAGGGCGCGCTTGAACAGCTCGAGGCACCAAAAGGACACCCCGACGCCGAGGCGGTCGGACCATGCGCGCGGGCCGACCTCGATGCGCGGGACGAGGTGGCGGACGGCCCAGAAGGTCTCGACGATGACGCCGATGCGGTGCGGCAGGTCGCTCTCCTCGACGGAACAGCGGTGCAGCACGGCGGCGGCGTGCTGCGCGAGCAGGTCGGCGTCGCGGGGGGAGACGTCCGGCGGCGCCGAGGTCGAGTACAGCACGCCGGTGACGATGCACGCGGCGTCGACGAGGCTGCGGAAGACCTGGTTCGTGGCGTGGGTGAGGAGCTTGCCGCGCGCCTCGTGCTCGAGCGCGGTGGCGATGAGGCGGCGCGCGGTGCTGAAGGCGCGCAGGTAGTTGATGCGCTGCACGTGCGGCGGCGCTTCGGGGTTGGCGGAGAAGTAGAAAGTTTGGATCTCAAGCAGCGCCGAGAGGGACAGGACGTGGGTAAGGTCTATCATGGTGTTAGTCGGGGTTGGGGGAGGGAAGGGGAAGAGAATCATACCACTGTTGGACTGTATAATCGCTGGCTTCAGCGCCTCGAATTCTTGCTCCCATCTCGCGACTTCGGAGCTGGAAGCATGTCCATGGCTGGAGGCATGGACCGACATGGCGGCATGGAACCGATTCAGGAATTTGTAGACGTCAAACATGGATAATAGATCGGCCCAGAAAGGCGAGTCTAGTGATGCACGACATTGCGTATCGTCGTGTTGGATAGAAGGTGGCGGATGACCGCTCATGGCTGATATTCTGCAAGCAGCATTGGTTAGTATAGAAACACGAGGCGGCTCGGATCCGTTGTTCGTACTTTTGAGCCAGAGCGCAGCAGGCCACCCAGGTCGAGGCTGCTTCCTCGTCGGAGAAGACGCGGGCTTTTCGCGAGCCGATACAGAACTGCTTGTGGCTGCCGCGACCAGTATGTGCCCCGATCATCATGATGCCTGTCATGACTATGCTAATGTATGTGGTGGAGGTATCTGTCAATAGTCGGATGACAGGGAGCGGCCATGCGCAGAGGAACAAGGCAGCGTGTGCAGTTTCCAGCGTCATGGCCGGCTCCATCAGGGCTTTCGAAATGTCTTTTTCGACATAGTCTACCAGTGCGCGAAAAAAGACGCGATCTGTGGTATATCGACGACAGGTTACGTAGATGACGACCCAGAAGAGGGTCGGGCTGGCTTCGTAGCATTCATCTGGATCTCGCTTTCGCAAAATGGGTAATGCGGGATGGAAGCATTGCAAGAATCTAAAGATTCATTCGATAAACTAGTGGGTATTTTCACAGTAATGGGTCACTTACTTGTTAAAGTACCAGTCAACGTCGTGTCCAGAGACCACATGTTCGCCAAGCATCCGGGCCTCGGTGGGGCCGGTCTTGGGCCGCTGCTCGGGGAGCCGTGCGGAGGGCGGCGCAGCAGCGGCAGCCGACGGCTCGGAGAGTGGTGTGGGCGCTTGGGGAATGGGCTGGGCGAAAGAACGGTTGTTGTTTTCTAATGCGTTAGGAAACGTTGACCGCGGACTAGTCGGCGTCCATTTCGTGTCGGCGCCGTGGGGATGCACCACCTGCTTGATGGACTGGAGCTCCTCCTCGAGCTGCTCGAGCTTGCTGCGCCTCGCCCGTCAGCAGCTTGCTTCATCAGACTAAAACAAACAGGTTCCCGCATTGGCCACTCACCTTCGTTTTGTTATGCGCTTGTGAAACTTATCCACTACACATGAGATCTGGAGTTTGGCGCATCTCTGACAGGGTTGGCCAGGGACGGTGCTAGTTCGACAGCGGACCTGGAGAGAGGGGAGAAGATGAAAACGAGACAACTTGTAAGTCTACAATTCCCCTTGGCGGTGGTAGAATCGCAAAAAAATCCGCTTCCCGGCAGGGAGCAGGATCCTAGCGACATCTCTACCCAGGACAATGACACACCTTGGAGTTGCGACACTTGACGCAGGCCACGTTGCGGCGCGTACGGTCTTCGCCGCCGTTTGGTGACGCTGACGACGCTGCATCCGCTGAGGGTGGCGTGGGGGCCATGAAGGGGGACGTTGGTCTCTCTGGTGGCTCTCTCTGCTCACGGCATGGCCTCTGGTGGCGCCGTATGATATGAGGAAACCGGGCCGAATATTGAAGATTTCCTTTTGGTCTATGCGACAAGCAAATTGCTGCGCCGTTGGTCACCGACAGGTATTGGTGAGAGAACTGGTCGCAACTTGTTCAAGCCCGCTGTCGGTGCTAAACATCGCCGACGCGTCACGTGCATTATACCTACATACGTAAGAGATGCTCCTCTCCTCCAAACCATGGCCCCGTACTTGTCGCCACCAGTAACTTGCGCTGGGCGCTACTTTGAACTTTTGCATATAATTGCGACTTTGCAGTATCTTGTCATGCATGCATGGTACGCGTGTTGTCATGTCGCGATGCATTCTTTTTTTCTATTCTGTGGGGAGCGAAGTCTGCGCTTGCCTTGGCCAACACACCTCCCAAATTGGTTTCAGCCGGGGCGACGGGTGCTTTTGTTCCCAGGCCCTGTTGTCGCTGCGCCGTCATTCACTGCTTCTTCTTCTTGTCATCCTTCTTCGCAGCTGCGCTGCTGCTGGCAGGTGCATCTGTTGCATTGCTCTTGTATCCAAATTGCAAAACCGCACTCAGCAGTTTCCATAGAATCCACGCAAATCCAATAGAGATAGCGACCGTAGTACCAGTTTCAACCCACCCGGACGCGCTGGCGTTGAGAACCGGGACCGAGATGCTGCTCGTCAGCCGGCTTTCCATGACACGGTTCCCGCCGTGTCCGCGTGGGTAGACATGCCAAAATACAGTCCCATCCTCGAACAGGTCGTCATATCCAAGATGGATCCTATCAAAGGGGCTCTTCGTAAAATCGGCCGACTTGACAGGGCCGCACGCCCAGAACACTGCGGGAAATGGAACCTCGATATCCTCAATGCCTGTCTCAGACGGTCTGAGGTAGCGGAGGTGGAGCGGCACCTCCGCTGTCCACGCATCGGGAAACGCGCGCATCGCAGGAGGTGCGAGCTGCAACAAGACCGTCGATCCCCAAACTGAAGTAGTGTATTCTGGGGCTTCGAGATCGACGGGGAGGCTCGAGTACGGAGCCGCGGTCAGGTTCTTGGAGGCCAGGAACAGGTCATCGGCTAGCTGATATCTGTCTGCGAAGATTGTCCTCGGCAGCGTCAGGTATGTGTACATTTTGCAGCTGTCTCCATCCACTGGCGGCTTATTGGAGTCGAACCCAAGTTGCATCGTCGGGTGCAATCCAGTAGGCGACAAAAAGCGCGACGAGAACGATGCAGGGCTGGCTCTGTGTCGGGCCGGAAAGGCGAAGAAGACCGCGCTTGGCTTTGTATGTTCTCTAAGAACAGTAAGAGTGCCCGAGACACCAAGCTCATGCGGCTTCATATTTGCGGGCTCGTCCAAGCCCATGATGCCAACCTCGGTACGTCTATTGTCAGCGGCTACAGCTACCAAGCTTTGGCTTCGCAGCGGCCAGAATGCTGTTACTTTGACGGCTTGCTCCTCTGCAGAGTATGTTATATCAAGCGAGGCAGCAGTATCCAGTCCTCTGACTCTTGCTTCGCATTCTGGATCAAGCTTGGTGCAGAAGGTGGTTGAGAAGTAAGCCATGAAACCATCCAGGGCTTCAATGTGCTGATGGAAGTAAAGCCCTGTTGTAGTCTCGCGTGATTTGCGCTCATGTTCCGTAAAGGCCTGTTCTGAATATAAGTGGCTGACTTTGCATTCTCTTGTGCGAGCTCACCTCTCTTGACTCGCATCCTACTGGTCCAAAGGCTTGTAGCAGACTGCACAATTTGGATCTGGGGACATGTTAATAGTTGTAGAATAGTTGTGGATTTTGCGACATACGGGTCCACGTCCGTTTGTTTTGCTGACGTATAAGAGACATGGAATCCTGGCGATATGCGGGAGCTGAACGGGCTTATCGTGTTCTGTTGCCGGGGGCTGGCCCATCGAACCTGTAGAGAGCTGAAGTCGCGCAGAACAGAGGCAAAATTGGCCGGTATCTCGTTTATAGGGATAGTGAATCTATCTTCGCGCATGGTGTTGATGGTAGGGCCAAGCAATCCGGTAGGCTGCACATCGAAGTCTTTTGGATCAAGCTCGCCCCCTGGAGGGTGGATGAAGGTGATGCGCTCCTTCATCGTGGCGTGGTGTCTTGGGTATGGCAGCCAAACGATGTAGCTTTAGTAGCACATGTGTAGAAGAAAGCTGAGCCAAGGTGATGGGCCGGTCTTGGCTGTCGCAGTAGGATAAGCAAAAGGATGAGGGTGTCAAGATCGTGGTTTCACAGGAGCTGGTCATGAGCGGGCTCCACACAAGCTTCCAGCCGCTTACCCTGGACTGATTTCGCACAGGCAATGCGCCAAGACATTGGGTCCAGGAGCTCATGTTATCGTTCATTTCAGGATTTTGGGGATTTTTGGAAGAAATTGCTGTCTCGTATCAGTTTTGGTTTATTTTACTGTTTAGCGACCTTGTGAGGACTCTTAGGTGAAACCATGGTAGGCGAATGTGTGAAGCATTCGAATACTTAAGCCGAGCAAACGTAGCATTCATGGGATAGCGCCACACATGTGCCAACTCCCGCAATACCGCCAATATCTGCCAGATAAGGTAGAGTCAGCATCTTGATTAGATCTCTGGCCAAAGCCCAATAAACATATTCTCCTTAAAATAGAGGATCTTCACTGATCAAAAAGGCACCCACATCCGGTGTGCCAAAGGACAGACCGACGGCAAATGGCGCTAAACCATTTTGGGGACCGAGATGTCAGGCATGGGCATTCCACCTCGTCAAGAAGCAGTTCCGTCATTGCCCTGTCACCGTCATCCTCGTTCGTTTTTTAATTCTTTTAGGAATGCTCAAAGCGTCTTCATTTCATTCTCTCTCTACTCATTGGTTTCGCTAACCGACGAGCCCTCCCTGTCGAGACTGATTCATGGCCTGATGGCCCTCCACTCACAGAGGTACATCGCAAACGCACCTCATCCTCGACCATGACCGACCACCAACCCTATGTCACGATCCGCGCCCGCCAGACCGCGGGGGGTCTAGGCGCACGGAACGCTGAGCCATCTGTATGTCTAGAAAATGCAACATTACGTCCTTTTTTTCGCCTTTTCTTGTACTCTTGTGTCACGGACCGACCTTAGCTAAATACCTCTCTCTTCCGCCTGTCCTCCCGGCGACGTAGTCAAGCTTCAGCAACGACACAATGCTGCCCAGATCGGCTACTCACGATATTAGCCGTGCGAGCTTCCATGTCAAGCACATCAGTCAGTTTGCGAAACGACTGGAAGACGCAAGTAGCCACCCGACGGCAACGAGGAAACTCCTTGCTAACGAGCAACTGCCATCAGTCCGCGGCGCGTGCCTTTCCCAACCGAGGCCGCTCATCACAGCGCTACAAAAAGGTTCAGGCTCTCCTCCTTCACTGGGGCTCAGACGACCTTTTTGTGCTGCCCGAGCTGGAGGACTTGCAAAAGTGTCTCAGCGAGGACTATGCCTTTGACACAGACATCTTCGCAATTCCGTCGGAGAACTCGCATCTCGACCTGATGCTGCGCATTGGCCAGTTGATCAAAGATCACGAATCCCCCGACACGCTGTTTCTAGTGTACTACGGTGGTCATGCTAGAATCGACGAATCGCGCCAAAGCGCATGGTGCGCGTAAGTGTCGACTTTTGCCGCGTGCCAGACAGAGGTCGAAACTGACAGAGATGTAGGACACGAGAACCAACCTCACCCTGGCTACAGTAATACCCACCTCTACGATTTGTTTTTCATGGATTGTACTAATTCTCACAGATGGTCTGCCATCCAGACGCTCCTCGAGCGCTCAAAGTCAGACGTTCTCATCCTACTAGACTGCTGCGCTGGCGCGGCGAGCGCAACCTTTCCCACCGGACACAGCATCACCGAGACGATATCCGCGTCAAGCTGGGACGCCATCGCTCCGGATCCAGGCCGTTACTCCTTCACCAACGCTCTGATAGAAGTATTGCAAGAATGGAGGTCACGAACGTTCTCTGCCGCCATGTTGCACGCTGAGGTGCTTGCACGCCTGAAGCATCCTCGTCCCATCACCATCAACGGCAAGCTGTTCGAGGCGAGGTCGACACCGGTGCACTTCATGATGACGGCAAACCACAAAGCTCCGAGTATTGAGCTATGCAGCGCCAGGCAGGCTCAAAAACTACCCCCATCACCGCCGCTGCCTCCGTCGCCACCACGGCCCACCCACGGCTCCGGTGCTGACCCCATGGGTGCTGCCCGAGGGCCGGGCCTGTGTTCAACCCCTGTTCCTCGGCCGCCCGAGTTTAGCGACCCCAACGAAGATACACCGCACGTCATGATTTCGCTCGCGCTAGAAGATGATCAGCGGCTTGACATCAATGCCTGGGAGCAGTGGTTAAATGCGTTCCCCGCTCTAGCCAAGTATGTCAAGGTTCAAGGAGTGTTCAAGAGTCACTCGACTCTCCTTCTTGTTTCCATGCCCGTGACGGTGTGGGATATGTTGCCCGAAGATCACGCGACATCATTTGTCGCTTTTATAAGATCCAACAACCTCGCCATCCCAAGGAATGCCCAGCAACCACAAGCGGTGAGAGCCACGACGCAAGCTCGTCAATCTCAGGTTGGCAGACGCGGCACGGAGTCCTTTGTCTCTGGTGTTTCTGGCACTACTTTTGCGGCAGACCATGTCTACGACCGAAGACCCAGAGAAGCATCCGGCCTAGGACATGGCTCAGCCGGCACAATGACCAGGAGCGAACAGCCGTCTAGCTACCCGGCGACGTTCAGTGCTCCAGGATCACCGATTCTATCTTCCCCTGGAGGTTCGAGTATCCAGCCACTTCGAACGGTGGACTCCAGCCTCTCTCTCCAAACCCTACAGCGTCAGCCAGTATCCGGATCCCCGCCTGAAAGTTCCGGGGCATCAAGGCAGATCATCCTCAACCAGCAGCAATCGATGCGTCGCACCGTTTTTGGCGACAATGTTCCCGAGCCGAGACGCTTCGCGAGCCATGTAGAGCGTCGACTGGAGGAGTACTACCAGCACGAGCCTCTGCCAAACGATGCGCAGAGCGCAATGCTGGCTTCGAACTTGGGCATCGAGCTGTGGCATCTCGAGGTCTGGTTCCATCACAGGTGCGAGAGGGACATTGTGTCCACTCGATTTGCGAGCATGAAGCTCAAGGACACGTCGCCGGGAGGCAGCGACGGGCCGCGCATGATCCTTCCCACAGCCCTCTCTGAGTTGCTGGAGCTATCACTGCCCGGGCAGATTTTACCGTTTGACCTTCGCTTGTCCAGCGATTTCAACAAATCACATCTACATGGTGCACTGAACCTGCGCGCGCCGCAGTCATTCCTCCGCATAGCACCTCTCGAGATAATTGAACGGTGCTTCGACGATGAGGAAAGCCGCAGGGTGTTTGCTGCACGGATGGGCTGCAAGTGCATACTGTTCTACTCCAAGGGCGTCGACTCTCCGTCCGGATGTCCCGCCGCCGGGATTCTCCTGGACAGGCTTCGGTCGGACGGCTGGCTCGGCGAGTGCTTCATCCTCAAGGGCAACTTCCGCGAGTTCAGCGTCTCGTTTGACAAGTTCGTCGTCGGCTCCAAGGCCACGCCGGAAGCCGTCGCCTGGTCGAGCAGGTGGCAAGACATGGTGCCGTCCGGCTCCGCCTCGGCGGAGAGCAAGCAGCGGTACGCGCAGTGGCTGGACGCGCGCCGGGCGGAGGACAGACAGCAGCTATCGCCGTACACGCCGGAGCAGCTGGCGGAGCGGGCGGAGCGCCTGGAGAGCCAGGAGCGCGAGCTCGAGGCCGAGTTCAGGGCGCGCCACAACGACCTGCACCGCAAGGCGCGCGACCTGCAGGCCGACCACGAGGCGCGCGGCGCCGACATGGTGGAGTACCTTGACCGAGGGCTGGGCAAGCTGCGAGGCGAGCTGGCGCACGACTCTCCGGCGGCGGCGCCGAGGGGTGGTGGTGGCGCCGGGTCTTCCAAGATGCAGGCGGACGACTACGCGGGCAAGGTGTATCGCGCAGGCGCTGCGGCGGACGATGCGGAGGGCTACGTGGAGGTGCCGAGGGCGAGCGATGCCCGGTCAGCGCCGGGACACGGCGGACGTCCGTTGTCGGATCCGACGGCGGGTGGGCAGCAGGAGGACCTGGCGCGTCGAGGGCGGAGCGGTGGCAGCGGGCTGCTTACCAAGGTATTCCGCCGTTCATGAATAGGATCTTTTACGGTCAATACAGACGGATATGGACAGTGGAGCTTTTTACATGGCTCTTTCTAATTCTTTGTTTCTTTGGATTTGGTTATCTCTTCGCATGTTCATGTTTTATTATAGAGAACTCGCCGCATTTTGGTAGTCATTTTTGGTATACTTGAAATAACCACATCCCAATTCTTCCCCCCCTGACTTTTTCCTTTTATATTATTTTTTATTTCACAACACGACCGGGTGGGAAACGGGTGATTTATGATTCACACAAGGCCAAAGGAACAAAAGCAAACGGGATGTTCTCAACCCAACGGACGCGGCCCATGTTCGATGCGAGGTCGCACAGGATCGGGCACACACTCCTCCCCCAGGATGTACACGAGATTTTTTTTTCTTCTTCTTGTCGTCATGCAACAATTCCTATTCAGGCAATCGTCGCGAACGGGTGGCTTTTCCTCGTGTGCCCTTCTTCACGAAGCACAAGGATGGGGGGGGCGGGAAGAAGCCCTACGGGATGGGTGTCGTTGGACAAGAAAAGGAAGTCCCGGTGTACGGATGCTGGAGGGGCGCACACAAGGCAGTCTACGAAACACCCGACAGAGGGCGTGCGTGTCTGAGAATGATGATGTACGTGGACGTCTTGTCTCTCTTCCCTTTTTTTTTTCCTTTTTTTCTCTTTTTTTTGCTGGTTTTTTTGGCGTCGGCCCCCTCCCCGTGCCTGTTTCCTGGTGGGCTGGGCAGTATCCTGAGATGTTGAGGTGCCGAGGGCATCCTTTCGCGGCAGATCGAGAGAGGGGAGGGGGAGAAGGATAACTCGTGTGTTTCTCTTCTATTTTTGTATCTTTATTGGCCAAGGGGGGAGAAGGGGCAGAGGCAATACCGGTGCTACACGTGTCAGGCTGAAGGAATGCGGTCGTACTTTTGCGTGGGAAGTTGTGCGTGCATGTTGAGAGAGGCTGGACACTTCCCGCGGCGGCAACTGCAGAGCCACACGCGCGTTGTTCGAAAATAGCTGCTGCTGCCTCCTTCCTGCCAGATGCTTGCCCTATTTCCCTGGGTACTGCTAATACCGCTTACACAAAAGTGCCTGCACATATGTACAGGGGGGGGGGAGGAACGGGTTGGGGAGCCTGGTTGGCTCAACATCTCACCCCCTCCCCTGGTCTGGTGATTTTCGTCCCAAGGCTGGGTTGAGATGAAGGGGAGTAGGACGAGGCGGGCGGGCATGAAAATACGAAACGCTGGGCAGCAGGCTGACGGCATCTTTTTTTCAAAGATCCCGGTCACCTGGGTAAAGAGCTGACATACAACATGAAGGGGGGTGGTTGTGTGAGGGAAGGATGAGGAGCAGGAGGGGGGTGTCTTGTCTGCTGTTGCGAGGCTTCCTCGATGGACGTCTTGTTGTTGTTGTTGTTGTTATTGTTGTGCGTGGATGAGTTGTCAGGGCTGGCCGTTGCACGGTAGTCACTGCCTACATGGCCTGCAGGTCATGCGTATTCTCTCGGGAGCACACGGGAGCACGGGAGAGAGGGCTGGATAAGCTGTGTGTACTTGTTCGGGAGGCTTGGAGTGAGGGATTGGCATGTCCAAGGCGCGGAGGAGAGCGGGTATTGACAGCGTCTCAAGTCAGCATTGCAATGCTGGGTGGTACGAGTGCGATGTTGAGGCGAAGTTGTTACGGGATGCAGTAGAACATGCAGCATATGGCAACTACAGGAACGCAAGAAGATGCGAGATGGTATCAGGCAACAGTTATGAATAGGCAGAGGCTTTCAAGAGCCTCCGTCGTTTACCTTTCTTCAACGATAACCTTAGACTCTCAGTTAATTTCGCTACCACGTAGACGAGCAGTCAAGGCCCACGGCGCACCCAAGTAGACGTGATACGTCAGTTCCTCCCAGCCGATCCGGGATACTCACTCACTCACTCTCCTCCCCTACTGGTAATAACCGATACCCCAAGACCAAGAAGGACGGGAACGACGACATCTCGTATTTTGCCACCTTACAATTTCCACACTTCTCCTACACTTGACCTGCTACAAGAGCTTGTTACGTATTACAATGTGTCAGATCACCGTGCAAGATCAAGAAACGTGGCGATCAGCCTCTTCCTTCCCCCCGACAAGAACAAACGCCACCGCAGGGCAGGCCTTGCAGGTGTCAGCGTATCGTATCCATGACTTGACCGGCCGGACCACTCTGGTCCTCGCGCAGCCAAGAGAACCCAAGCACAGCATGTGTGCGTTTGCTGTGAATGTTGTTTGCTTGTCACCCGAGTCCCCTGCCCTGCCCTTGTGGCTTTTGCCACCCCAAACCCTTGTCGTGGAAAAGGGCGGTCGGTATGGGACAATTTCAGACAACCCGGGCAAGGGAGGAAGGGGACAAAAGGTCATGACGGAATTAGACTTCCGAGTCGACGGAAGGGGATTCTCCTCGTGTTGGCCGTTACCTGAGACTCTTGTGGCGATGCCGGGTCCTGCTTGTGTATCAGTCCGGGAATTTGAAGGATGAACGTCTGGGGGCGGGCGGGCAAGGGAAGGATGAAAGTTACCGGGTTGCTGGAAGGGAGAGGGGAGGGGGAAGGGATACTCGGCGGGAAACCGTTGTCTAGCGGGGGTCTTGAGATTCATGGGAGGCGTTTTCTGATGTCGGCAGTTCTGAAGCCGAAATATATGACACGTTGTTATTCTTATTGCCGTGCTGGGCAGGCAGCGGCTTCATTCAGGAAGGGGAAAGGAATGTATAACACCGCCCTGGGGGGTATCGAAGGGTAACGAGAGAGAAGCCGAAGATGACGCCGGGTAATGATCCCCGACTAGGAAAGACGTTTTTGTGAGGAAATGATGTGCTCACTCTAAAAACGAAAGCTCCTCATATCTCCCCATCATCAACCATCGTCACCACGAGGGACAGACGGTCAGTATCCGCTTGCGTACGTGCCAGCTCACAAACGCCAGGAAACCCGCCACCCGCCCCTCTCTGCTAGTTATGGCGTTGTTGTAAGTTGGCCGGGACGTGTTGCCCTACGGAGTGTCTAGTTTGGGCTACTCATCTCGCGATGGCACGATGGGCGTCGTTGCAGGGTCGTGAGTGGTGGGGGCATGAGCAGGAGAGAGGGGAGGGGGGGGAGGGGATGGGATGTGGGATGTGCCAGAGAAGCTCTGGCAGGTGGATATTGCCGATCATCATCAGCATCTCCTTCCCTTTTTCTTTGGATTGCAAGGCCAAGTTGACGTGTGGTAGGTAGGTAGATGGATGGATGGATGCACGCCGTGATCGGCCTCAAGACGAGTAACGCTGGGGGCGGGGGGGGGCGCTGGACACAGTACTGGTAAACTGGCGATAGTTGACTTGTCTGTGTTGGTGGTGTCTCTTGACCACTTGTCGTTGTTGTCTCTGCTATTATTTTACCCCAAGCCTTGGCCCCCCTCGTTTCGTCTGTTTTTCAAACAACGTATCGGATAAACGTGCGGAAGCAGCCGTAGCCGTGAAGAGACAGAAGAAGGAGGTGACAGCTTGATGGCAACCCCCCCTAGTGGAACTGAGGGAGTTGTAACAAGTGATTGAATGACTGACTGACTGACTGATTGACTAGTTTGGCGGTTGGTTTTGGGGTCGCGATCCAAGATCCAAGACCAAGACCAACTACGAACAAACTAGGTAGGTCGGCGGTCAGTTTGTTCTTGCTGGGGAATAGTTGGTTGGTGATCCGCCAAATTATGCCTAAGAATGAAAGAGATAATAAAATGGTGTGTGAGTATCAAGTACCAGTACTCACTGTGGGTGGTTCCTTTTTCCTCCGATGTCTCAGACTCAGACTCTACGCGAGCCTCCCACACAACCTGTCGCCTTGCAGGCATCTCTTTTTTTTTTTGAAGTATTATTATTACTGGTTGCCCAACCCCCCGTCATCTTGTTGGAGAGATTCTCTTATCTGTGCATTCGGAAGGATGCCGAGCGTGCCTGCGCGCCCGCCGGCGCAATGTGTCAAAGCCCACGGGCTGCGGCAAACGATGCGCTTGGGTACTTTAACGTTTTTGAGGGGACAAGTGAAGATCTCGGCTTCTTGGTTTTTTTTTTTTTTTTTTTTTTTTTTTGCTTTGCCTGCCGCAATAATTCTTCTGCACACGGGACAACATCAACACTCCGTCTTGGCAGAATAATAATAATGAAAACAACGAGGACAATACATGACGGGTTATGACGAGAAAGAATGGGGAGCCAAAAAGAAGGACAAAAAAAAAAACAGAAAAAGGAAAAAAAAGCCCGAGATGAGGAAAGCCCGAGAAAGAAAAGGACAAACGTCAACGGTTCGACTCGATTAGCTTCGAAAAAGACACCGAGGGCTGGGGTCGTCTGATAACGTGGCGGCGGCGGCGGCGGCGTCGACACATTGTACGTATTGTATATTGTATGAATTGTGTGTACATGTCATGATGACAGCCAAAACCGCCATCAAGGCCCGCCTATCAAGGCTTGGGGATCATCAACGCCGTCGTACCATCGGCATGCACTTTGGGGGGGGGGAGGGGAGCGGGGAGCGGGCCCCCCCTGGTTGATGAGAAGCCCTGATGAGAAGGGGAAGAAGGAAAGGAAGAAAGCGCTCATCAGTGACTGGTCATGGTGCAGATGCCACAGGTGCATTGGAGGCAAAACGCCACCGCACATCATCATCGTGCCTTATTGAGCCTTGATTGAGCGTGGAGACAGGCAGCCAGCCAGCCAGACAGGCAGGCGGAGGGACGGGTCGACGACGCCAAGTTGGCTTTGGTCGTCAGCAAGTGGTTCCGTAGTCTGTACAAGTCAGTTATACTGATACCTACATAGAACTAGTAGTGGTGGACTAACCTAGTTTTCAGTCTTTACTCTGTACTGCAGTAGGTAACAAATGCCATTACCATTCACCAACTTGTCACAGAAGTTTAAGGTTGTCCCCACGAGGCGGTGCCAAGAAAGGCAGCCTGTTTCAAACAATGCCTAGCCAGCCTGATCTCGAACCTGTGC